GTCCGTTACTCTTCATAACCACTAATCTGTTCTCCATTTCTAAAATTTTATCATTTCAAAAATGTTATATAAATGGAATAACACAGCATTGTAACCGTAACCTTTTAGCGTTGATTTTTTTTTAACTCAGAGTCTTCTCTGGAGAGTCATATAAGTTGCCGTGTGTATCAATAATCCATTCTGTTTTATTGCTGAATAGTATTGCAAGGTATGGAGGTACCACAGTTTATTTAACCATTTATCCACTGAAGAACATCTGGCTTGTTTCTAGTTAGGGGCAATTATGATTCAGCTGCTATGAAAATTTACGTACAGGTTTTTGTGTGAATATGAGTTTTCATTTCTATGGAATAAATGCCTGAGTGCAGTTGCTGGGCAGTATGGTAACTGCATATTTAGTTTTATAAGAAATTACTAAACTGTTTTCCAGAGTGACTATACCATTTTACATTCCTACCAGAAATGTATGAGGGATCCAATTTTTCCACATCCTTGCCAGCATTTAGTGTTGTCACTCTTTTTATTTTAGTCATTTTAATAGTTGTGTAGTGGTATCTCATTGTGGTTCTAATGTACATGATGGATAATGATATTGAACATTTTTTTCTTGTGCTTATTCACCTTCTGTATATTTTCTTTGGTGAAGTGTCTGATCATGTATTTTGCCCAATTTCTAACTGTTGAGTTTTGAGAATTCTTAATATAATCTATATACTAATCCTTTGTTGGATATGTGGTTTGCAAATGTTTTCTCCCAATCTGTAGCTTACCTTTTGATCCTCTTCACATGGGCTTTCACAACAAAAAGTTTGATTTTGATGAGGTTCAGTTTATCAGTTTCTTCTTTTATGGACTGTGCTTTTGATATCAAGTCTAAGAACTCTTTGTGTACCTCTGGATCCCAAAGATTTTCCCTAGTTTTTCTAAAGTGTTAGAGTTTTATGCCCATCATTTATTTCAATATAATTTTAGGTGTGAGGTTTAGGTCAAGTTTCTTTTTTTCCTATGATGTTAATTGCTCCAACACCACTTGTTGGAAGGCTATGCTTCCTCCATTGAATTGTTTTTTGAACCTTTTCCAAAAATCAGTTGAGCAAACTCAACAACAAAAAACCAATTCAAAAATGTGCAAAGGACTTCAATATACATTTCTCCAAAGATATATAAATGGACAATAAGCATAGGAAAAGATGCTAGCCATTACAGAAATGTAAATCAAAACCACAATGAGATACTATTTCATACCCATTAGGATGGATATTATCCAAAAAAGGGAAAATAACAAGTGCTGGCCAGGATGTGGAGAATTTGGAAGCATTATGCATTGCTGGTGGAAATGTAAAATGGTGTAGTCTCTGTAGAAAACAGTTTGGTGGTTTTTCAAAAAGCTAAACATAGAATTACCATATGATCCCGCAATTCCACTTCTCGGTATCCATCCAAAAGAAGGGACTCAAACAGATAATTGTACACCAAGTTCATCGCAGCATTATTCACCATAGCCAAAAAGTGGAAACAACCCAAGTGTCCATCAACAGATGAATAGATGAGCAAAATGTGGTGTCCATACATACACTCAATAGAATATTATTCAGCCTTAAAAAGAATGAAATTTTGATACATGCTACAACATGGATATCAATGTAAAGACACCAGAAACATGAAAAAGCAAGAAAATGACACCCCCAAAGGATCACAATAATTCTCCAGCAACAGATTCTAATCAAAAAGAAATTTATGAAATCCCAGAAAAAGAATTCAAAATATTGATTTTGAAGAAGCTCAGTCAGATATAAGAGAATACTGAAAAATAATACAAAGAAATCAGAAAGGCACTTTGAGATATGAATGAGAAATTGATCAAAGAGATAGATTTCATAAAAAAGAAAAACATTGGATTTAAACTGCAGATTAGATCAAATGGATCTAACAGATATTTACAGAACATTTTATCCAATAGCTGCAGAATACACCTTCTCATCAGCCTCCCAAAGTGCTGGGATTACAGGTGTGAGCCACCATGCCTGACCCAAAAACCCAAACCTATTTATTCTAATGAATTCAACAGACACTGAACACTTGTATGAGCCAGGTGATCTGGATGAAAAACAGCATCATACCCTCAAACTGACACTGGGGGAGAGAGGCATGGAAGCAATCACACACACCAATGCTCCAATAATGTCCATTAAGCCAAGGAATCTAACTCTCAATGAAAAATCAACATATCGCCTCCTTAAAGTAGAATATTGTTTTCTCCAGCAGACTTTCCCCAACCCCAACCCTGGGTTAGGTCCCCCAGCCAGATATTCCTGTTGCATCCTATACCTAATATTCATCATGCTTCGTTGTGTTTGGGGCTCAGAATCCCATACCCCCAAATATGGCGCTTTGCCATGCTGGACTGAAGAAGCAGCCTCAAGGTCTCTTTGACAAACTGACTCTTCACTCCCCCGCAACTCCCTGCCTGGTCTCTATGAAGATATTCTCTGAAGTTCCCTTATCTGCCTGAAGTCCTGACTCCCCAAAGGAAAAAACAATTACCTTTGGTCCCTTCCCTGAGTTTTCATTAACTCATATTGCAGGATGAGACTGAAGTCTGTCAACACACTTGGACAGACTTGTCACAAACTACTTTGTGCTCTGTAGACCCAACAAACTTTGTTCCAGGCTGTTACATGTTCTCCAAGCCCATTGGTTTCCCCTAAAAATCATTTACTATCCTTCCAATTGCCTCATTTCCCCCATCTCCCTCTTCCCTGTGAAGAAGGGTATATAAACATCTGTAGCCCATTGGGTTATTGGGTAATCATTCTCCTGAGATTCCCCCATATTATGTACATTGAAATAAATTTCATATGTCTTTTCTCTTATTAATCTGCCTCTTGTCAGTTGATTTTTCAGTGAAACTTCAAAGAGCAAAGGGAAAGTTTTCCCTTGGCCCCTACAGTTGTAATCACTTATTTAACGCCAGCCTTCCATGCTAGACAATAAATTCTGAGGGCAGGCTCAAGTGCCTCCCTGTGCTGCTGCATTCCTACACTTAACACAGTAATAATAGTAACAGCATCCATCTATTGAGCTCACTAATGTTATCAGGTGCTACACTAAGCCCTTTACATTCACTAACATATTTAATCCCACCAACCCTAGGCCACTGACATTGTCCTCGTTTTACAGATGAGAAAACCATGGCTACTTGGCCGGGAATGGCAGGTCTCATTCATAAAAGAGCACCATATCCACTTGAGCCACTTTTAACAATTTCTATAATCTGACGCTGGCCCATCCATCCAAACTAATTTGCCATTCTCTTCAGGCAAGCAATCCCACTCATTTTCTCTTCAACACATAATGCTCATTACCATCTTAACACTTCACTCCTGTTCTCTCCCTATCCTCTGCCATTTAACTAAACCAATGCTCTCAAATTAGTTTTTATTTAAACAAAATCAATAGTATGCTCATCTATTAGAATGCAAATTTTCTGAAAATGTAGTGAAAATTGACCCAGAAAGGTCAACACCAGGACTTACATTATTAAAATTATTAGACTTGAAAAAGACACAATTTTTGAAGCATCCAAGCAAAAAATCAAAATTACTTAAGGGAAAATGTCACATGACCTTAGGCTTCTGTGTATCAGTATTTTCAATAGTCTCAAGCAAAACGTGAACTAAGAATTTTAAATCTAGCCAAATTGTTTTTACTGTGTAAAGGCTACAGATAAACATATTCAAACATATAAAAACATATAAAAATTTAGGGGAATTTTTCTATGAGTCTTTCTTGAGGGAACTATTAAACCACTAATTTCTGCCAACCAAGAGATTGCTGGGAATGTTTGAGTTTTGACTATATTTAAATTGTAGAACTAGGATGAAGAAATGCGAGGATGACAGAATGTAAACATCATTATGTTCTCACAATGTAGGAATGATAAAGTATAATCATACTGACTAGTACTGGGTGGTGGAGAAGGAGGGGAGGAAGAAATGTGCTAGGTTTAAATATTGCTCATAAGGCATTATTAGTGACTGGAAAGAAATAGAAGAGTGTTATAATTATATAAATAACCACCAGACCAGAAATTACCCACAAAAAGCAAAGAATATAAAACATACCATACAGTAAAATATTCTTAAAATCATCACAACACAAAGCAGAACAGGATTATAGCAGGGAACAACAAAAAAAGCCAATTTTCTGAAACTTGTTCCCAAATTTGTTCCTCTACAGAAAATCCTTCATGAAATAATTAAGACTGCCTACAAGCATATCTTGTCTATTTAAAGCTGAGAAAATAGTTCTTAATATCTTATATTTTTAAAGCACTTTCATATAGACCTATATGATTTACCAGCTAGATAAGACCATAGAAATTATCTAGTCCAAGCTCTATCTCATTTCAAAGATAGGAAAAGATTGAGAAAATTCTGATTTGGTCCAGGTCACACAGTCAGTAGGTGAGTTAAGACCACATTACAACCTCTTGTCTAATTTTATTATGTTAACTGCTGCCACTCCAGCATTAATTTCATACAGCTCAACATTCTGAAACTATAACACCTGTTAGCATCTACCACTTAAAGAGAGTAGATTGCTGTCCTTAAAGGACAATTCCATGCAATCTAAACCAGAAAAAAACGCATACCCATGTGATCAGTTCTACAGGCAGGACAGTATAATGGAATATAAGCTATTAAGCTAGACAGCCCAGGTTCCAGTGCCAAACCTACAACCTTCTCCAGCTATGTAAACTTGGGAAAATTACTTATGTGGTTCATGCCTCAGTCCTCTCATCTGTGAAATGACGATCATAGTTGCTACCGCTTGTTAGGAAGCTTAAATGACATTGTGGCTCCTACCGAAGATACAAAATGTTTTATCTTTTTTCTTAGAACTTACTTTTTGTGCTAATTTGAGGAATGATTTATTTTTCCAAACTGAAATAAATACAGGAGATTTGATGTGTTCACTTATTTTAATAACAATACATATACCATGTTATCACCATGGAATGTGAGTTCAGATTACACACGAGAATTTGATAAGTGTAATAAAGTATTCTGTAGTATATCAAAGTTTGTGTATAATGTCCGGCCAAACCAGCTTGCTCATAAATCATTAATCACTCCCATTATAGGCAATTTGTTTAGTTTAACATTTCTAATTCTTACAAAGAAAATAAACATAATGCACACACTTAAAAAAGTTCTTTATTTACCTATGTATTAGTGCTTAAAATACATTATTTCTATTTCAAGGTGACATTTAAAAATTACTCAAATATAACAGCAGCAAAAATATAATTTTGCAATTACAGAAGAGCTAAACTGGAATCCATAATTAAGTTTTTCTCATGTTTACAACTGTGATTCTGAAATAAATGCTACTACTATGCAGCTCTGTTGTAAGCTTTCTAGGTTTAAACACATACACATACACTTTCAATTTGAAAGGCTTTACAAATTATATTCATGCATTTTTTTAAAAGAGTTCTAAAAGAGCCAACCAGTCCCCAAAACTGAAGTACTCAACCAGTCCCCAAGACAGGCAGAAAAAAGTTAAATTAACTGGGGTAAATAGGACTCCTACGTGACACTCACAGCATGCAATGTTCTGCAGCAAACTGGGAGTACTTCAGGGTTGGCCTGCTGTCCTCTTTAGAACTGATTTCATTTAACGGTTTAAGAAGGTGGACATTTTAACATCGTCAAGTGCATTTAGGTGACATGTTTCTTTTTGTGTTAACTTGACTCCCATGAATGTCCTAGTTAGTGAACTAGTCACTAGTAATTTGGTCACCAGGCAAATCAAGCCTACAAGAAGGGAAGCCAATATTAAAAATACTATATTATTGTCTGAACTCATTCAAATAATTTATTTTTGACATAGATAAGTAACTTAATAACTAAAGCAGCTCCTCCAACAAGACCAAGACAGCAGCTCTTCTTCTAAGGTTTAGGTTTTGCCCAGAATTCCCGATACATGGAATAGCCCATACCTAAAGAAAAAGAATGTTAGTTAAACATTTAAATATTTTCTTCAATATTAAGAAAATAAAAAAATCAGTTCATAAAATAGCTATAATAGCCTTGAATATTTACAAGGGGAACAAGACCCTAGGAAGCTTACACCCTTGCCTTCTTAAAGAATTTAAATTTCTTAAACTCCTTTTTTTTTTGAGGAGAAGGAAAGAAGTTTATTAATTTGCTGGCAAATGAGGAGGTTGGCAGATTATCCTCTTAAAGTACCAACATCCTCTTCTTAAACTCTTTTTACATACAGTAGTTTCCCAAGTAGCTAAGGGTTAGTATGACTAGCTTACACTGTTAAAATACTTCTTTAAAGAACAATCAGTATTTACCTGACAACTTTAAAATGAGTCACTCTTGTTACATAATACCAAATAAAGTAAATGAAATAATGCCAAGAAAAGCTACCTATACTAATACCTACATTTTAAAAATCTTTCCACTTTCCAGTCATACCAAGAACCAAATCAAAGACTCAATTCCCTTCACAATAGCAACAAAGAAAATAAAGTACCTAGGAATATATTTAACTAAGGAGGTAAAAGACCTCTACAGGAAGAACTATGAAACATTGAGGAAGGAAATAGCAGAGGACATAAACAGGTGGAAAACCATACCATGCTCGTGGGGCGGCAGACTCAACATTGTTAAAATGTCTATACTACCCAAAGTGATCTACAGATTCAATGTAATCCCTATTAAAATACCAACATCATTTTTCACAGATGTAGAAAAAATTAATTTTACACTTTGTATGGAACCACAGAAGACCCCATATAGCAAAAACAATCCTAGGCAATAAAAACAAAATGGGAGGTATCAATTTACCAGACTTCAAACTTTACTACAAGGCTGCAGTAATCAAATCAGCTTAGTACTGGCACAAAAACAGAGCCATTGACCAGAGGAACAGAACTGAGAACCCAGATATAAAACCATCTTCATATAGCCATTTAATCTTTGACAAAGCAGACAAAAACATACACTGGGGAAAAGAATCCTTATTCAATAAATGGTGCTGGAAAAACTGGATAGCCACATGTAGAAGACCGAACCAGGATCCACACCTTTCACCTCTCACAAAAATCAGCTCACGCTGGGTAACAGACTTAAGTCTAAGGAGTGAAACTATTAGAATTCTAGAGGAAAATGTTGGAAATACTCTTCTAGACATTGGCCTAGGCAAAGAATTTATGAAGAAGACCCCAAAGGCAATCACAGCAACAACCAAAATAAATAAATGGGACCTGATCAAATTAAAAAGCTTCTGCACAGCCAAAGAAACTGTCACAAGAGCAAACAGACAACCTACAGAATGGGAGAAAATTTTTGCATGCTACAAATCCGATAAAGGGCTGATAACCAGAATCTACTTAGAACTTGGGAAAATCAACAAGAAAAAATCAAACGACCCTATCAAAAAGTGGGCAAAGGACATGAACAGAAACTTTTCAAAAGAAGACAGAATTATGGCCAAAAAACATGAAAAAATGCTCAACATCTCTAATCATCAGGGAAATGCAAATCAAAACCACGATGAGATATCACTTATCTCCAGTGAGACTGGCCTTTATCAAAAAGTCCCAAAACAATAAATGTTGGCATGGATGCAGAGAGATAGGAACACTCATACACTGCTGGTGGGACTGCAAATTAGTACAACCTCTGTGGAAAGCAATATGGAGATACCTTAAAGAGATACAAGTAGAATTATCATTTGATCCAGCAATCCCATTACTGGGCATCTACCCAAAAGAACAAAAGACACTCTAAAAAAAAGACACCTGCACCTGAATGTTTATAGCAGCACAATTCACAATTGCAAAGATGTGGAAACAACGTAAGTGTCCATCAATACATGAGTGGATTAATAAAATGTGATATATGTATACCACGGAGTACTATTCAGCTTTAAGAAACAATGGTGATATAGCACCTCTTGTATTCTCCTGGATAGAGCTGGAACGCATTCTACTAAGTGAAGTATCCCAAGAATGGAAAAACAAGCACCACATGTACTCACCATCAAATTGGTATTAACTGATCAACACATAAGCGCACGTATAAGAATAACATTTATTGGATGTCGGGCAGGGGGGAAGAGGGGACGGGTATATGCATACACAAAGAGTACGATGCACACCACCTGGGGGATGGACATGCTTGAAGCTCGGACTTGGGGGGGGAAGGGGGGCAAGGGCAACATATGTAACCTAAACATCTGTACCCCCATAATATGCTGAAATAAAAAAAAAAATCTTTCCACTTTCAAAAACTCAGTAAAATAGCAATCATATGTCTCTCCTAGATAATGAACGTTACACCAACCATATTTGCATGTCTAGACTCTTCGATGAAATTATAAACTCAGTGATGGACAGGATTACTTCTTCTCTCTTTCTTTAAAACCTTATGAGAATATCTCATAGAGAGTAAAACTATGTCACTACTTGAATTATTTTTATTGATTCAATTTTTACATGAAACTGAATATAAATGATACTTTCAAACTGCCTAAAGTTCAGCTAAAAGTATCTACTTTGTTTTGTTTGTAAAGAAATGCCTTAATGGGGAACCAAAATTTGAAAATTTCCTATAGAAACCTACCAAGAGTCATTGCTCCCACAACAAAGCCTTGGGCTGCCACGCGCATGTGGATCAGGTGAACGGACATTTTAGTATTTCCCCTGCTCTTCAATTTGTATAATCCATATGCAACAATTGCTGCAAAACCTGCCATTCCTGTAAAACAAAGTCACAAGTACGTCAGATGCATGGGGAGAGGGGGACCAAGATGATTTTACCATTATCAACCCAAATAAATGACTGAGGCAAAAATCTCAATCAATGGAGGTTTATTAAGCCAAGATTTTGAGGACACACCCAGGAAAAACAAAAACCACAAACAAGCTGTGGCTATTTTTCCAAAGGGGAGGTTGGAACCTTCAGCATTTTAAAGGCATACAGAGAAAAGGAAAAAGGCAGGAGTGGGGAGGACTGATGAGGTACTGGCTGCATTCTTGTGAGGTATAAGAAATCTACATTTTACATAAAATAAGGGAGCGAAGGAAATATTGATTAAGTAGATGTCCCTAGGTAGGTGGAAGAATGTCTGATTTTGTCTTGTCTCCAGTTCTGTTACCTGAAAGATAAACTTGTAATTCATTGTTAGTGTGGAATTGGATAGGCTTTAGTTTTAAGTGCTAGACATAGATACAATTTGCACATCCTTGCTTATGGGAGGTTAGCGAGAAATTTCCTTAACGAATAGTCTGTGGTGCCTGAGGTTGTGATTTTCTGTTTATACCATCAATAAATGTACTTTCTATTCTTTTTGTAAGAATGTTTTATCAGATGATTAATTAGCTAACAAACTGAATTTTTCATTTTTTCCCACTCAGAACTAAAAATCTTTAAGTAAACAGCAGATCCAGAAAGTCAGGATTATCTTTAAAATTGTGGGTTTGTGGAACCAGCAGATGAATTAAGAGTATAATTATTACAACAAAACAAATGTGCTAAAAGTTTTATCTGGAGTTGGGGAATGAATTTATAACTCTTCCTCTCTGTCCTACTTCCCTCCCTGAAGAGAACCAATATAGCAGAGACAATCCTACACATTACTATCACTGAGAAACACATAGATCTCGCCTATATACTTCAAACTTTGAGATACTGTACTGGGAACATTGTAAGTAAAGCATTGCATAGCAGAAAGCAACAGAGCAATGTTAGAGTTAAAATTATGACCCTAGAATTCTATACAAAACCAAGCCCTCATTTGTTTTGAGGACAAAAGCATTTAGGACATGACCTTGCATGTTTTCAAAGTATGCTATTATGTACTTATACAAAAACCTAAAGGAAGTAATACAGTCAAATGGAAATAGTCAATCAAACTGGACAGTTCAAAAAATAAAAACACAATGGGTGAGATATAATGGTGAGCAAAAAAGGTAGTAAAATTTATACTGGTTCCTTGAAAATGATTGGATATAAGGTATAAAACTTAATAAAAATTAATAATATGGAATTAAGGCTATGCTTATTACCACAAAACATGCATGCTAAGGGTCTTACCTTGAGTTAGGGAATTAATTTATATTCACTTTAATACTTGAAATATATGAAAAAACATATCCTGATTAACAATGTAAAGATAATCACAAGCAGTAAAGGAATAGCTGCAGAACTTCCGAATCATTAGAAAAAATTTTAAAATAATAATAAAAGGAAACAACAAGAAAGTGTAACAAATAGAAAACATCAAGTAATAAAACTAAAACTAAGAGAACTTATTATAATAAATGTGAATGTAAGTTAACTTCCTCTACGAGGTTGAAAAACAAAACCTGGATATATGCTTTGTACAGTGGATACAACTAGAATGACACCATAGAATTAAAAGTAAAAGTATGGGCAAAGATAAGACCAGGCAATTAAGCAAAGAGAAAGCAAGAGTGGCAATAGTAAATAATATCAAAGTAGAATTCTAGGTAAAAAGCATTGACTGTGTCACATATGCAGATATTTTATAATAATAAAAAGGTTGGTCCATAAAAAAGTCATACACTTGTAAATAATCTAATTAACATAGCAGTAAAATAAATGAAGCCAAAATTGCTAGCAACACAAGACATGCTCTATTAGAAGATAAATAAAATGAGAAAATGTTAACATTGTCTCTTTCACAAAACAACAGAATAAGAAGCCCCAAACTAAAGCTATAGAATCGAATGACACCATTAAATAATCTTACT